CTCATCCTCTGACATGTCTTCATCCTCACTGTCTTCCTCTATCTCCTTGGGGGGAGGAGGCAGCTTCTTGGGCTCGCCTTGATTTTTTCCAGCCTTCACGAGCTTCACCATGATGGCGGCTGGGAGCGAAGGGATCGGAGGAGAGCGAGTGGCGCAGAGCGATCCTACAGGAAGCTAAGCGACGTTGATGGCGGCCGCGAGTGCTGAGCCTGGAGCGCGCACGCTGGCTGCCAGCTAGAGCTCGAGACTGAGGCGAAAGACTGAGCCTGCCCAGTAATCAATCGTCTCTGGAAAGTCGACGTCACGACCTCGTGACCCAGCCTCAGCCAAGAAGGACGCGCGGCTGTCCCCGAAGCCAATCGGGAGAGCCTGACATCATCGAGACGGGGCGGGAGTGGGTGGGCCAGCGGGGCCCCGAGCGTGGAGGGGGCTCGGCGGCGGTGCCCGGGGGGCGGGGTCCGCTTTGTGTGAAGGGGGTGCTGATTGGTCCGTGGCCGCGCGGCCCCGAGTGCGCCTGCTTTGCTCACACTCGCGGCGCCTGCGCACAAGTTGGGGTGCTTTTTGGCGCGGGCTGGGCCTTTCCGCGGGTGCTGGGGTCTGGCGCCTGCGGTCCCTGAAATAAGTCTCGTCCCCTCGGGCGGCCTCTGGGGCACCTGCCTTGCGGCCCTACAAAATATTTCATCCTCGTGTAACTACTGATGGGTCTGAGGCTGCCGGACGTCCAGGCTCTACGGGGTCCCCTGTACATTTTTCGGGTGCTCACCTTAGCCCTGGATCATCCCTGGAGCAGGAACCTTTTCCCCCTGGACATAGATGGTCCTCACCCCGGCCTTGCACCCCAAAACTGCACGTGTTAACAGAGCTGTTAATAAGAGGTTTACCGCGCTTAACCTCGGCAGCCTCGTGCAGTGAGTCCCTCCTCCCTGAGAGCGCGGACTCAGAAGTTTCTGTCCCGTCCCGGCTTTTATCACCCATCTGGAGAGAAACCTGTGTCAGCCAGCTGCAGAGCTGGGGCTTTGACCACCTCACAGCTGCTCATAGGGCCCCAGTGCCAGTACTGTAGCTTAGTGGCAAGGAGTTGCCCCGCTAACTCATAGATAGGCAGTTCGAATCCACCAGCTGCTCTGTGAGAGAACGATGATTTTTCACGTGGTCTATTGCCTTTTAAAACCGGTGGGATGGTCACCTTTGGATCAATGCAGGCTCTAACTACAAACTAGTATCGTGGGGACCCCAAGACTGTCGGGGAATGACTCCAGAGGGTTTTCAGTGGCTGGGTTTTCAGCAGGGGCTCTTCAGGCTTCTCTTCTAGGCACATCTGGATGTTTCAGCCGTCATCCTTTCCATTAGCAACCATTTACAATATCCATGGCAACTCCCCAGTAGGCCTTCTATCGTTTTCTTTGGTGGGTTTTTCTGAAGTAGATTGCCAAGCATCACTTCACAGACATTAAAATACAAATAGGAAGCAGTGGCATCAGTTGGCTCAGGACTAGGTCAGAGCCGCAGGACAGGTTCCCTTGGTGGCAGAGGCACAGAAAACTGTCTTTGTACTGTGATATTGCCCGTTATTCAGGTAGGTTGCTTTGCGGGCCACACTTAATTTGTAATTAGTGCCAAATCTCTCTTTTAAAAAAACTATTTTATTTCATTATTTTTTGTGTGTAGCGTCAAATCAGATCTGACTGATACAGGAGGAGATTGTTCCTCCTTCAGCAGAGCATCTGGTGGATTTGAACCATGTACCTCTGAGATTGCACTGCAACTTCTTGCCACTTGGCCACCAGAGCTCACCAAAATCTCACAAACTATAGCCCTAGCTGCAGTTTCGAGCCTGCAGAAAATCTGTCCTGGGCCTCTCCTACCTTGATGTTCCTATCCAGAGCACCTTCAGCTTTGCTGCTGTTGCCCAACTGATCCGAAAAAGTTCCCCTGGGAAATGGGTAGTGATGATGGTTCACAACATGTTGTATGTACGTAAAGTCACTCAGTTGTGCACATAAAAATAGTTTCAATGGAGCCATGGGTTGAATTGTGTCTCCTCAAAATATACATATTTAATAGTATTGTATGGAAGCTGGATGATCTGATAAAAAGAATAAGAAACGCCCCTTAATTCCATTGCAGTCCTAAAGGTGAGTATGGAGGCAGCATCCACAACACAAATCTAATTCCCTTGGGTCAGACATGTCCTCTCATGCTCCTGCACTTACTGGGTCTGCAATTCAGTGGCCACACAGACTTCTTAGAGGTATAGGGTTTATTAAGGAAGATAATGGGTGCAACCACTGTGGAAAGTGGTGTGGCACTTTCTCAAAAAGTTGCAAATAGAAATACCATTTGACCCAGCAAGTCCACTACTACCCCAAAGAGACCATAACTGACATCCAAGCAGATATATGCACACCCATGTTTATCGCGGTTTTGTTCACAATAGCAAGGAGTTGGAAACAACCTAAGTGCCCATCAACAAATGAATGGATAGAGAGGCTCTGGTATATGCACACAGTGTAATACTATGCTGCATTGAAGAACAAGGAACTCAAATATTACGCAAAATGGTTGACCCTGGAGGACATTATGCTGAGTGAAGTATCTCAGTCACAAAAGGACAAATACTGTATGATGCCACTGTTGTAAAACAGGACTGACATCAGGGTTGGGGCGAAGACTGAGAAAAACTGGATAAAATATGTATACTGCATTGAAATAGATGAGGGAGAGAATAAAAGCGATATGTGATAGGGTATTATGGTTATCACAAGAGTCCAGAATTAAGGTTGCATAGTGGAGTTGTACTTGGGGCAGTGGAGGGGGGAGATTGTATACCAAAGAAAGAATTTTTCTTTTCAAAGGAGCAAATTGGGGTGGGGAGGGCTGGGCAGGGAGAAAAGTGCAACTATGAATGAATGGAAATCCAAGATCTCTCTAACCTGGCTAGCACGCCAAGCCAGTTGGCCAAGAGCGCTGAAGGTCGCGCGCGGAACGCCACCGCCTCGCCACCCCTCTAAATGTTCATTAAAATTAATAAAATATTTTTTTTAAAAAGGAAGATAATGGACTATAATTTAGGTTAACTGTGAGATACAGTCAAAATTCAGGTTAACAGCAGGATACAAACTCTTCTCTCCGTCCAGGCGGCTTCTCAGTGAACAGCAAAACCCAGTCCTTCGTTAGTCCAGACAGCTTCTCAGTGAACAGCAAGATGCAGGTTCTGGCACCAGAATCTCTGCCCCAGAAACACACATGCTGCTCCTGCTCCTGCTGCTGCAGATGCCCATCCTGATGCTGCTGCTTGGTGGTTAGATCTCCAGTTTCTGCTGCTGAATCTGCTCCAGTTATTGGAGAGGCTTGCCAATCTCCCTTTGGATAGATTAGCATGTCCCATGATCATGCAGAAGAGATTTCTCACGCAGCTGTTAGTAATGTAGGCAGGCTGGCTGTTTGCAGGGCAGGCAGAGCTGAGGCAACTGGATCAGATTAAAGACAATGGTCTTAGGAAGCCAAGCTTAGCAGTAGGCCTGTTGTTGTTAGGTACCATCGAGTTGCTTGCGACTCATAGCAACCCTGTGTAAAACAGCCCTAAACCCTGCTCTGTCCTGTGCCAATTTTACTGTCTCAGACACGCCCATCCCCCTTACCCCAGTCACTTAATCAATACATCTTATTAAGGGTCTTCCTTTCCTGTTCTGTCCCTCCGCCCTCTCAAGCATGACATCCTTCTCCAAGGACTGATCCCACCTTGCAACATGTCCAAAGTATGTCAGACCGAGCTTCAAAATCCTTGCCTCTAAGGACCAGCCTGGCTTCACCCTCTCCAGGACAAACTTGTTTGTTCTCCTAGCAGTCCATGGTATGTTCCATAGTCTTCTCCAACACCAAAGCTCAAAGGCAACAACTTTCTATCATCGCTAGTCATTTTCCAGCTCTCTGAAGCATAGCAAGTAATGGCAAAGACCATGGCCTGTATCAGGTTCACCTTAGTCTCTAGACTGACATTGTTGCTCCTCAGTACCTTGGAGAAGTCTCTGACAGCAGACTTTCCCAATGCAGTTCATCTTTTAATTTCCTGGCTGCTGGTACCAAGAGTGTTGATTGTAGAACCAACCAAACTGAAGCTGTCAACAATCTCAGTCTCTTCACCATCTATCATGATGCTGCCAATTGGCCCAGTGGTGAGAATCTTTGTTTTCTTGATGTTGAGCTTCATACTGAAGTCTTTAATCCTACTATACAATAAAAGAGAGTTTCCCTAAGGTGTGCTCTAAAGAAGGTTCAAATACTACAAATAGGAACCCATTGGGTAAAATGAAATGGCCTCATTATTGCTAACATTTCTGCTTCTCAAATACCCCCTCCTCATTTCTGTTCAAATACTAGTGGAAAACTGAATCCACAAAATAGGATGTTCCAGAAATAACGCACACAATGAGCTGACCTAAGGTTACACCTTCAAGATAAGAAAAAGGTGCCGACAGAATACTGTCCAAACCAAGACTTGCTGAACCCACCACCCTTCTCTGTATATAACAGCAACAGCTGTTGACCTCAACTTTGAGAGCTCAGTCCACTTGCATGCAGTTGATAATAAACCAACTTATTGCTTCACACACATGCCTTGTGTGGTTGGTTCGAGTAGTCCTGGTCTGACTCCAAACTTAACCCCCTTTTCTCTCTCTTCTCCTAACCTTTTAGAGACCAGTAGCACTAGTTAGTCGAAAAATAGATCAAAGCCAAGAAAAAGTACCCTTTATGGCAGAGGCACAGAAAATTTGGCACCAATTATAAGTTTATAATTCAGTTATACCCACAAGGCACATGATCTGAATGATATCTTCTATCTCAGTAGGGAGTGGGCTGGAAAGTGAAGGAGACCTCACCACACACCATAATGAACTGCCAAGAGCAGGATACATTCCTTTAGATCAGAGCCCTGCCCAAGGTACTCCTCGATTCCAGGGAAAGCCAAGACAGATGGAGATGCCCAAAGGATATAGATCCTGAAGGAAACCAGGCCTTTCTTCCACAACCAACAGATAGAGTAGACCTTCCTCTAGAGAGGGCCCCTTGAATTTGCCTTCTAACCTAAACTGAAAGAGAATAAATCTGTT